AATCAGGCGAATTGGTGGATGTCTATTCCGCTGTGGTCGACCCGTAGGTAATTCTTCATCATAAACCAAGGCATTCTCGGCGAGGTCCGGTAAATCAATACAATTATTCTGCTCCTCCTGGTAAAACAAGTCATCTGATGTCGTATCTGAGGGCTGAAAAATACTCGATTCGTCAGTACTTTTATTCAGTGATCCTCCTTTCTGTTGTTCTTTGAAAACAACATGGGAACTTTCAGTGATGGCTCCAGTTTTTGGATCTAGAATGCGGTAATGCTTAGTTGTCCTACGATATCCAACAAAAATGCCTCTCTTGGCATTTAGGTCGAGTTTATCACGCTTCTTCTTGTCGACATGGACATATGCCACACATCCAAATACTTTCAAATGCTGAACATTTGGCCTCTGAATAGTCCACAACTCATGAGGTGGCTTTTTACTGTCGACAGATGGTGTAAAATTTCTAAGGTAACATGCTGTTGCCATAGCTTCTGCCCATAATCTTTTCGGAAGACCTGGCCCTGCCAACATTGAACGAGCTTTAGTGACAATTGTTCGGTTCATGCGCTCAACTTTCGTATTTTGCTCTGGTGTATCTGCAGTCGTGGGCTCATGTATAACTCCTAGACTAGCGATAGCTTTTCTGAGCTCTGGAGCTCTATCAGATCGAACTTTCACTATTCTTTCATCAGACTCAAGCTCAACCTCTCGTTTCCATTCAGGTAAAAACTCCGAAACATCCGATTTTTGCGTCATGAAATGTACCCATGACATCCTAGAATACTCATCAACAATCACTAACATATATCGCCGACCACCGATAGATGGATATTTATAGAGTCCCCAATGTTACAGGCTGCGCCTATCTCCTAGTGAATGTCGCACGGACACTTATCATTATTACGTCATTAGCCTTGCTATCTAAAGAGATGTCCAACTTGGCCATACAAATACAGGGTTACAACAAATATGGAAACAAGATATTGTTGCAGCAAGTCTCATATGGAATCATGGGCCGATACGACCCAGTTTCGCTATGACGAGCCCACTCAGAATATCAAGGATATGGTGTAGTAGAACAGATAGTGAGGTTAGCGCATTGGGAGTTGGGACACCTTAAGTAGCCTCCCCTCGGTGGACAGCTCCGAGATGTATGTAGAAAATAGACAGTAATCGGCCACCATTCCTTTACTATATTGTTTTGTTGATCGCCCATCACACCCAAGTGTCCAAGAAGATCCTTTCAAGCCGTTTAGTTGCCGGATTTACCGGAGGTTTCCGACTCTGAAGCATTACTGACTTTGTAAGATTGCAAGTGTTGCAATCACATGAGTCAGCTTTCTTGATATTTGGAATACCACTTACTGCTTGTGATATTAACCCAAGCTTTTCCGCTCCCGGATGACCAAGACGGCGGTTCCATAACAGAGTCTCCTCCTGTGCCTTCGAGTCGGCTTTCATAGCCAATTCCTTTAATTGATGTTCCCTCAATATCCAGGTATCTCCAACTCTTAGGCCTCTAGCAACGATCCGTTCGCCTGGTTTATTACAACATCCTTCGAACCCAGGATAACTGAGAGTCCTGCTGAAGTGAGTTTTCCGGGAGATAGTAGGTTCGCTTTAAGTTCGGGAATGTGAAGCACTCCTTCAAAGGTCGTATTCTGCCCATTTATCTTGCAACAAACTTTTCCTCGGCCAATGACATTGGGATTAAATTCATTTTTTGCTATTCCGATTGTCGAATTATAATTTGCGTACTCGATGAACAAGTTCTTGTCATAAGTCATATGACTAGTTGCACCGGAGTCGACACACCAGTCATTAGCACAAATTTCTGCAGAGTCAAATGCCGCCCATGCCATTCCTGCAGTTTCTCGAGCAGATTTTTGCTTCGTTTCTCCTTGCCGTCTTCATCTCGCTGCTTCTTTTTGCAATCAGGCTTAATATGCCCAAGTTTTCCACAGTAGTAACATTTTCTAGTTTCCTTTCTTGTGTTAATCGATGGGTTTCCTTCTGCACGGAGTGCAATCTCATCCGGCTTATATTTTGTTTCGAACTCTACTTGTCTTAATTTTTCGACAATCTGTTCGAATGAAAAATCCCCTGCCATAATTCGAATTGTTTCCACTGTTGTCGAATATTTCTTCGAAAAGCATCGGAGTAACGTATCCTTCTTTGACAAATCTCAAGGCCTGTCCTCAATAGGTATACCCCTTATTCTAGTTTGTAAATGTGACAACGATGCCGCAACATCATCTACCCTTCTCTTTGAATCTGGCGAGGAAAACTGGGACTGGAGCGATGACAATGTTCCCTTGCTACATCCTCCGTTTATTTCCTCCAACTTATTTAAAATGTCCTTGGGTGTTCTAAGCCCAAGTAAGTAAGTCCTTTGACTGCCTGCAGTAGTCTTAAGAGCGACTGTAATTTTAGCCGATTTTTCTCCTACATGTTGGTCAGCATTCTTTGGGATATCTTTGTTGATAAAATCCCCCCAGCCCTGTGATTCAAGATAATCTTCAATCACATCTCTCCACTCAACATAGTTTGAGTGAGTTAGCCTTAGACCCTTAAGCCCCTGTATCGTGAAGTCCCTCGAATCGTCAATGTTGTGGTATTCTGTGTGTAATATAACAACCCTCCGCAGAGTTGACAACGAAAACGAGTTGGTTTATCTAGATAACCTGATACATGTTAATCAACAAAATCCCGGTTGCACAGTGAGCAAATGCGGGCTGATAACTATTGGAATATTATCGGGATTCATTATTAATATCATTCTAGTAACATCAATTACACGATAATACTCCAATACTAGGTGTCAAACATCTGATGGTTTGGAACCTAATGAATATGGTAATGAGAATCATTGGATAGTGGGATGACACATCTTGTCAGATTAACTAACTCGAGCTTTGATATCTCACCAGGATATGGTGATCAGGATGATTAGGATGTTCAGGATGTTCAGGATAGTCAAAGCTCTAACATGAGATCTTTTGATCTTCAACACATGTAATATATTTCATATGTAATTTTGGGAAACGAGGAGAAGATAATCTCTCCTCGAAATAGTTTCACATGGGTATATAGCATCACTGCTGGAGAGGAGTTGAGGAGCAGAGATTTCATCAATACCACTTTACTTTACATTTTTCATTTGGCCCTCAGTGTCTAACACTAGGTGATACTAAATATAAGTCTAACAGCTTGAGATTCTCTATACAACTTCCATTACTAAAATTGCCTCAACGAATGATTTCTCGATGGCCGAGGGATCAGATTTTGGAGTTCTGAAATCTGAAGAGCAAGGTTGAGGTAACAGCAACATTGATTATGCCTTTCTTAGGCATCTGCTAACCAATAACAGGATACCGGCTGGATCAAAGGTACCTGCTAGCCCATCTCTCGCTCTCAGCGGAGACGGAGTAAATTTGTCATCAGGAAGGTGTGACGGGCAAGGGAATGTTAGAGGAGCGCATTTCTTGGGTCCAACATGAAGGAATCTTCTGTCTTTTGGAGGAAGACTACTCTCAACACCTTTCAATGGTGTCCCCTACGAACCTCCGGCTCTCACTGTAGAGCCTGCAGAGCCGAAATTGAGTGACAAAGTCCTTAATTTGATGAGGATTTCTATTCGCTTTCGCGGACTGTGTCGTCTTCATCTCTCAACACATTCCCCTATCACCATTTTCATGAAGCTTACCACGATCAGATCAGTTGGTAGGGTCGGAGCCCTTCTCGTCACCAACCCTTGATCATGGAGGAGATACCATCTGATAAGTTTCCGGTGCGTACCCAGCACCCGATACGGCGATGGTGGATTAGATCAAGTCGGCCTCGATTGTTACAAAGAAGGGAGATATAGATGAATATGCGCACCTCATCTGGTCCCGGTGTCTAGGTCTCGCTTGGCTGGGGATGCAGGTTTTTTGAGACTTTTTCCCGCGCAAACAGTTTCCATTTCTTCCCTTTTTATTTTTTTGGGTAGAAGGTTCCTTGAAAAATGTGGTCGAATTCCACGGGTAAACACTGAGCTGAATGGCTATTCATCAAGGGGAATATATCAATGATCTTTCAAGTAACAGAAGAGGATTGGAGCACTGTACAAGGTGTGGCCTGGGTCAGAGAGGATCCCAATATACTAGACAGTCATAGAATCAAGTCGTACCATAAACATACATCTCTCTCTTTCTGCCTTTCGGAGTTATTTTGATTTCGCCGTTTTTTATTTCTATTTTTTCAGTTGCACCTTTGTCAGTGATACACGAGGTTGGAAAGAGTTAGGCTGAAGGAAAAATTGCAGGGAGCCCTGCCGGCTCCACCGGTCCTGCACCCATAGTGGACATAGAGCTTTCGCTTAGGACCATTTGATTCAAAAAGACCTGTATTGTGTAAACATTTAGGATGACTCTTTTAACGTTATGAAATCATATAAGCTAGCGCTATAAATGACTAACTTCTAAAAACGAATACCTTAAAACCCAAATGATAATTTAAAGTAAATCTTTGGTTATTATGTTTCGTTGTTTAATTTGATAATTGAATCTATGTCTACTAGGCATAGTTCGCATATCTCCGACCCAGGCTATAATTTTTACAGCTCTACTACCCTCTGTTATTACAAAAAATAGACATGTGACATTACACCCGCGATGAATAGCAATTAAACTCTGTAGTTACTCGTATAATCAAGGTACCTTTCCTGATAAATCTTAGAATCTAGTGTTCTTGAGAACGGAAGGGTTAATTGATCTGCTTTCGTGGGCTTTCATACCCCAGCCGATGGATAGCATGTGATGTGATAAGCTTTGAGATAAGGAAATGGATTCCTGAAGTTCAATTGTAAATTATGGTTATGACTAGCGTTCAACCTTGCCTAGGATAAACTGTTTTTGCCACGAGGCGGTCAGAATTGGCAAAACTCCATTTATTTTTAGGGCAACTGTTCGTCAAAGACTTTTGGACGATAGCCACAAGCTGAACCCGCATTTAGACGCGCCATGTCGAACAATAACGGCTCTATCAAAAATCGGAAGAGGCGTAACAGCAATAATTTCACCCAACCTAGCAAACGACTGCAATTTGAATTAGACAATCCAATCACGGTTGAGGTTCGGCAAGAGGCTCAATGTCCGCCGATTATAGGTGACCTTGACCGGTTCCCAAAGGTTCAAGTTGCTGAAAACATGTAGCTTCTTCTCCTGGCCTTCAAGTCAGCTCGTCTACAATTCTTCGGCCTTACGTAAAGCCGTTGGTTAAAGCAAAAAAAGATAATGCGAGTTTACTCAACCAGGAAATGCTTCTACACTCTGCAGAACACCCAAAAATAGATTACACGGCCAAAGATGAATCTCTAGGAGTTTCTGATCCCCTCGTCAAACATTATATTGGTCTATACAATCCTAAATCGGGAAAGCTTGAGGTTACGGAAGCCCGAAGAATGATAATTCGTGGAAATGTTAAGGCGTATATTTATGAGGATGAACAGGAAAGAACTCTAAATGTATGTTGTGATTTAATTCCTATTGCAAAAATTAATAAATGTCCATTTAGAATATAAGGGAACAACGAAATATCCTAGGTCAGACTTTCGGAACGAAAAAAGCTCGGCGCGCAATTGCATCTGCTGTTGAGAACGCTATATCCCCAGATATTTATCTGCGCAACTCAGATGGTCCACCTGTAGCGAATACTGCCACAGTAGCTATGCTTGCTAATATGGCTGAAACGACTAAAGGTATGAATAGTCGGGCTGCTCTCGCCAAAATTGCGGACGAAGGGAAACCCCGGCCCAGAGCAAACGAAGATGCAACTTCGGTTCAAGATGTCTATACCATTGACTCTCTGATTGGGGAGGATATTTTGAAAATGTTGCCAATTAAGGAATGGCAAGATAAACTCAAGATGAATGAAGAGATTTTTCTTCGATCCAAATTTGTTGCCAGCCGAATCCAAAAGTATACCAATGATTACAAGATGCTTAAGGTGTTGCGCTTTGCCTTATTGTTGATTCAAATTTACCAGTCCTCCAGGAGTTCCAGGGAAGGGAAAAGACTACCCAGAAGAGACGAACTTAAGGATATCGTTGGAGATATTCCTGAGGCAGTTCTTGGGAACGTGAAACAAAAGTTTTCGGAAGATGGAATCATCAATAAATACCGCTGTGATTTACTGATTACTCACCTCTGTGTAATTTCACTCATAGTCGACAATTTTGAAACTGACACAAGTGACTTGAAGGAGGACTTACAGCTGGAACTTTCACAAATTACCAAGTACTTTGCAGAAGTTGGAGCCAAGAGCACTGCTTTGGGTAAAGCCGAAACCACGCGCCTTGGAAAGAGTGTGGCGTCCCAAAGAAGACTCGCAAAACTTAAGTTACCTCTCGTGTTTCCAAAGCTGTCATACGGTGGAAGGAAGAAATAATGTAAAATATAGAGTCCCGCAAACGGAGAAGATTTGGAAATGTTTTAAAGTTATGCGAGAGTATACCATGTACTATACCCCTCAGCTTTGGCACAAAAAGCCAATGAATTTCTGGCTAGTAGCCTCTTTTAATATTGTAAGCTCACAGAGACAGTTATCTCATAACCTTTCTCTCTACACCTTGTTCGATAATATAGGTCGTCAATTAGCTTAATAGTTACTTACAAATCCAATAAATGTCAGTAATTCACCGTGCCACGGCCTATATCAAGGACTTGAAAGAACGCCAACAAATTAGACGGAAAAATCCGGTTGGTTTCATTTGATGCGGAACTATCGCTTAATGGAAGTTTATGGGTGGATCGTTCAATGTTTGCTATGCTAAGATCTTGGCTGGAGAACTAAAAGGGTTGACACGTGACTTTTCTGGATACTCATGGAAGAAACCTGACTGAGCTGGTTCATGGAATATACTTTGGGTTAATTCATGCGATTGAGGTCCAGCATGTAACTGATTCTAAGGTCAAAAGATTCATCCAATATGTAAACGAGACATTGGTCGTGCGTAAAAGCTATTCGACAGAATCGAATTGAACTCCTCGGAAAAAATATGGAAAAGCTCTATGCCCTTTGGGAAGTAAATATTAAGAGTAGAGAAAAAATGACTAATTATATCATAGCTTTCCATGGCTGGCAAAAGTTATGGACATTTGAAAAGTAAAATAAAGTGCCAGTCACCGATTACTAATAGAACCCGTATTTTGGAAAGCATCATGTATCACTATAGATGGAAAATTGGTGTGAATATCATGAATCTAATCTAGAAGAGTCAGCTCGCGGCAGATGCGTGGTGCCCGATAAGTCTCATACCTGGGATGCCCTGCCACCACGCAACAACAAGCAACATGACGGAGTTAAGGAGCCATCGCCAAGGAGTGCCTCGAATCAGAAGTATCATAACATGAGCATTCATCTTTACTCGACTGATATATGGTCAGTGGGTGATGCAACTGAGTCAAGGAGCCACCACTAGGGAACATAGTATCCCCGGGGCTCTGTGTCATGAATATACGTCTAGGATGTAGTGGCACATAATTGATGAGGGATATAAATGAGTCAAGGAACTTTCCGTCGGAGTTAGAGAAGGACTGGTGTAGTCATGTAGAGTGAGGATAAGCGAGGGAGACATGTATATAACAGAGTAATAACTCTGCAAGTAGATATCATCAATCAATCATTCTAAACTCTCATCTACTACAGTCTCAACTCACCTACAGATAGACCCCAACAGCTCATTAGCTTGCATACCGGCTTGATCAAGCAATAGTACCGGTATATCTCTATCCACTCACAACCCAGTTTCATAACAAAAAGCAGTACAATATTGAAAGAACTATGGAGTGCGCCTTGCTATATTCGTCGAAATTCTAGTAGGGCTAAATTAGTACGGCTATTAAGATTAAGAGCTAGAAAATCGGGCTCAACACTTATATTTACTAAAGGATTGTTCCCGGATTTTATAACGTAAGATGCCAATGTGGATATCCATTACACGACCTCTGTGACGCTCTGCGTGAGCTCACAAGTCTACGATACATATCAAGATGGCTGTCAGATCGACAGATTAAATGTTGTGCCTTTTCAGGCCAGTTGGATTTTTTTTAATTCATAGTGTATTCAGCTATCTAGCTATCACACGTCTAATTATTTTATGTCTAAATACAATTTTTAATCCCCGTTTCCTTTACTTATCTTCTAGTCTCCTCCCTTTCAGTCAGCTTTGGATGCATTCATGCATCCACTGCTTTGAAGGAGGTGGAGAGTTGCTTCTTATCCAATTTTTGTATTAAACAATATTGTCAGAATAAGATTCTTGTATACGAGTGGTACGTTAGTATTGGAAGTAGAATTGATAAAGTATTGAGTTAATCTATCGTGTATGATTCTCGCGATCGCAGCATCCATCAATGCTGCGCCCATACTCCTATTAATATGTGTCTGCCAGCCTCGTCTATGCGCTAATACGGAACTACTAATACAGGATATCTAAGATCTCTAAACGCCTTACCCTCTTTACTCCTAAGTAAGTAATAAATACAACCATAACTCCATTATGTTCAGGTACAGGAATGATTATGTTTGACCAACAATCTTATAATTCAACAAATATCTCTATTCTCAATGGCAATATACCTTTGAAAGCTTCCTCTCTTTCAGTCTTAAACTTACTACAATAAAGAATTAGGTGTTAAACAGTCTGTTTTCCCCAGTTGGCATTAAGGTAAAGCTACCTAACCACAGGTACATTTCTATGTCGTGAGAAATGTGGCATGTGTGCCCTGCAAAGGCTGTGTATCATCTTTCAACCATTTTCTTTTTGCATGTCGACAGTGAATAAGAAGAGTAGAGGGTATGCTTGAACAATCAAAAAAATAGGCCTTTTGAAGCCATGATCAAAAACCTCGTCAACCTAGCTGCGATCATTCGGTAGATCTCATTTAAATGCCGACTAATACATTTTGGACTTGCAGAAAAAGTTGAGTCAGCATTGTAGAAAAATATTAAAATGATCAGGAAAAAGACAGGATATCATGCAGAGTGAATGAGTAGTGTTAACTCACTCCCTTGGGAATAAATAGCCGGCAAAGATGAATTCTTTACCCTCCAGTGGTGCCGATGTAATCGCTCAGTATGCTCTGTATATCTGGGATAGCCAAGAATAATCGCATCCGAATCGGAGTCGAAAGTAACCTCAAGCACATCTCCATTTGACGACTTCTCGATAATGCCTCTCTTATCATTCTCATCGGAGTCCTCAACAACCAATAAAGAAGTTGCTCCAATTGCATACAGGAGCTTGCTCCGTTAATTTCCAGCCATCTCTCACTATATATTTACGACGCTATTTATACCCGCAAAGAGGAAATCAAGTCGAAAAATACAAAGCCTGGGTCTTGGCTTATGGGGGGCTCTAGCTCTAATGGGACAAACAACTTGATGGAGAACAGGCGGCTGAGATGTGGAGCGAGAGGAGGAACAGGTCTCCGAAGAGCATGCTGAGACTGATATTTTCGAGGGGTTTTCAACTTTGGACTTCTATGTGGACGCCAAAACCAAGATTTCGGCTAATTAGCCAGGAGGTCTTCTTTTGTCGATGAGCCAACGGCACTCTCCAGCGACCTGGATGGTACAAAAGAAGTTAGGACAAGCTACCAGCCAGCAATCACGCTCTATCAAGACTTTTCTGATGTCTCAGCACGACCTTCGAGAAGGAGTTGGAAGGAGGCTAGAAAGGTAGAGTGTGAATTCTCCGAGGTATACACAAGTCTACAGCGCGCAGCTGGCCGGCCTCTTCGAACACTTCGGAAGGATCATTTTGTCTTCGGATCTCGTCCCAATGTTGGTATTAGAAAAGTCTCAAGGAGTTTGATAGGGCGATATTTCTACAGGGTACGAAATGAGATAGTGGAATAGAGATCAAACGACAATATATGAGGCGAAGCTTCACTGTGAGAAGTAGAAGAGCCACAGGAAGTAATGCGGTGCAATGGTCTTCCAAAGAAGAGATGAGGTGTAGAAATAAACGTGTATTTATTTTCAGAAGACGTTATGTGAGGTCTGAATATCCTAATGCTAAGCTTTTTTATATACCTAATTCCATCCAACTACCTATCATACTTTCCATAATATCATGATTTCCATGATGTCATACTTCCTGTAATAGCATACTCTCCCCAACTCCAGGATGGCATCTGCGATCTGTTAAATGACGTCAGGATGTTACTTGACTCTAATATGACGTCCGAAGACAGTGCATCTTCATCTCTACTATCAATAACTCATCATGATTGTTCAATCTGTGAAAAAGAGCCCCGCACCCAGTGGTTTTTGCGATTTATCCCGGCTGCCATACACCCGCAAATGGCCATCGTTTCGTTGGCTGGAGAGGGGAGATAATGAAGGGCAAAGGGCTCCTCTTAGTGTATGATCGAATGAGGACTTGTGAGGGGCGGTACTGTTTGAGGGGAGCTGTATGGGAGGCATAGGAAGGGATATACTACTGGTATAGGTATCCTTGGCCTGTAGGCAGAGAGGACCTGCATGTCCTACATAGTCATAGACTCAGATAGGACAATAAAATGAAAAAATAATGATAATAATAATAATCGGGAAAACCTAGAAACACTATAAGGGCAGGATCAGAAGTTTGCCACTTGGTTTCCACTTTGACGAATAATAAGGGTGCCAACAGTGGTGAGATTGTATGGGATACCTGAACGGACTATGTTAACTTATATTACCACACGCTGTATGGTGAGATGTAATTCTGACAAGTAGTTAGCCCTGCACAAGCCAGAAAATTCTGACTGGGGCCAGATAAACCCCAATTCTAGACCATCGAGACCAATGCTACGCCCATTCACGCCCAAACAATCGCAGTACGGCGCACAACACCCACATGGCCAGAAGAAGACTGTGGAACTCTTTTCAATAGTGTTCTATGCGAATCTGAGGCCGGAATATTAACTCGAGGCTAAGATTTAATCCTTATCTGTGAGTGAATTTGGAAAGATTCTCGATTAATTGTCTGGTATAAAGAACTTGTGATATTTTTCCTCAACCCCCTAAAATTATGGTGTGTCAAGCGTGAACAAACGAATCGAGGAGTATTGGAGATCGGTAAGGGTTCGATTAAATGGCGGCCTGGAGAATATATTTGCGACTTGGGGACAGACTGGTGTTGATGTGAATCGAAGGTACGTCACCAACTATTAAAATAGGGGTGCTTGTTAAACTTTAGTGCAGCAGATCGATTGTTGTGTAGTAACTTTATTACTAAAGGATGGTCTCTAATTATTACAAAATCTAATGTCTCGCGATGCTCGCGTAGTATACTAATCTTTACCTTCACGTGATGCTTACGACTTGGTCTGATACAACCTATTTCAACAGTACTTTATGTGGAGGAAATATTCCGATCATGCTGCCAGGTAACATCC